CTTGGGAATACTGCCCGACCGTTTGCAGCTCTGTCCACACTCAGCTCACCATCTTGACATAGCCCTGCCTGCACGTCTTCCTCCGTTTCCTTTAAGTGTATTTATTTATTTGAGAGGCAGAGCAGCAGAGGCAGAGAACACCCTCATCTGCTGGCTTATTCCCCAGGTGCCAGCTGCAGCTGGATCTGGCCGTGCTGTGGCCCGGAGCCTGGAGCTCAATCCAGGTCTCCACACGGGCGGCAGAGGCCCACGCGCTTGAGTCACCACCTGCGGCCACCTAGGATGTGGGTCAGCAGGACCTGGATCGTAGTGGAGCCTGCACCCAGGCCTTCAGTGCAGCAGGCCTCTCACGCGTAAGCTGCACCTGCTTTGCCGCAGCACCCACTCCACCTGCACCTGTAATCCGCAGCAAGGACTCAGCCCTTCCGTCCTGTTACTCCCCGTGTGAGTGGCTGATCAGCTCCTGGGGGTGTTGTTGAAGACAGACAGGGTCCCTGAGATACAGGTTGTGAGACACACCTTCACAGAGGATGTGTTACAGGGAGAGACTTGACCTTGGGTGTGTGGAGCGGGCTGCCTGCCACTCAGATTTTTATTTATTTTGAAAGGAGAGAGATGTTCCATCTTCTGGTCCATTCCCCAAATGCCCACAATAGCCAAGGATGGGCCAGGTTAAAGTCAGGAGCCCAGAACTCCATCTGGGTCTCCCACGTGAGAGGCAGGGGCCCGAATACTTGAACTGTCACCTGCTGCCTCCCAGGGCGTGCAGCAGAGGAAGCTGGGACTGGAAGCAGAAGCAGGCCTTGACCCAGACCCTGAATGTGGGGCGTCGGTGCCCCACGGAGCGTCTTGGCTGCTGCACCAAAGCGTCTGCCCTGCTGGGTCGGCGGTGATGCGTCCCATCCCACGTGTGGGTCAGGCTGCCGAATGCACACGGCAGCCAGCGGCCGCTGCTGGGGACGCCCACACCCACTGCAGGAGTCCAGTGTCGTCCCTGCTGGGTCACTCGTGCTCCGGCTTCCTGCTCACGCAGCTGGGGAGGCTGCAGACCTGCCGTGCCCATGGGAAGCCCGGCCCTCGCGGAATTTGCCTCTTTCTGCCTCTGTCTCTGCCTTTCAAGTAGATAAAATAAAACATAATTTAAGAAAATAAAAGCTTAATTTATTTTGGTGTGAAAATTTCTGAAGTCCATGCATAGTATTTTTCATAATACTCATTTTCCATGAACTTCGTGAGGACCCTTGTAAGGCCGGGATTTCAGTGTACTGTGCATGGGCGTGTAAAGTGTGTGACGTGCACACTAGTGTCGGCGCTGTTGTGTGCAGGCACTGTCCTGGGTGCTGAATATTCCATTTGTAATAAGAGGTGCGCAGCTCTCGTGTTTCTCAGTTGTGTGAAGAGATGGCAGAGAACAGAGAGCGAGTTCAGCACACGGAGGACAGGGCACACGGCCGTGGGAGTGCGTGCTGTTTGTTGTGTGGGCAGAACTTGGCAGTGGCCCTCCCCGGTGCCCACCGCACTCCTTCCCCCACTGCACTGCTCTGGCCCGTGTGCCCTGCTGTGAACTTGGCTTGGGAACATGTGAAGTTGCTTCAACTCAGCGGTGACCAGCATCCCCTTCCCCCCAGACTGCCCTTCCCCTGTGAGAAGGAGACAGCGTGCTTCTTGGGCACACAGGCCGCATCCTGCTGTCCGCAGACCTGTGTGTGGCCTCTCTGTCTCCGCGAGGCCCAGTGCTGAGCTGTGTATCCTTACGTCTTCACGGCTCGAGTCCCGTGGCCCCGTGGCTTTCCTCCCGATCATGGTCGATCGCTGCCTGCGCTTTCTGAAATGCAGATGCCATGGCCTCCCCTCTACTTAGGAGGGTTCACTGCTCCCCTTCTGTCAGGAAGTCAAGAGCCCGAGAGCCATGCCTCTGCCTTCCCTGGGCACCGCTGGTCTGGCTGCCTCAGCTCTGCCGGTGCCGCCCGTCCTGGGTGCTTCCTCACGTGCAGATCCGCTGTTTCCTGCAGCGGCTTGGTGGGTGAGCTCTTCTCGCACACCAGGCCTTTCTCCCCTGTCCTCTGCTCTCCTCGTGTGCTGCCCGTCGGGTGGTCCTGCCCCCTACCCCTAGAGAGCCAGTTTTGTCCTGTCCGTGTCTGCAGGTCCTCAGCCACGCGCACACCTGCCAGGAAGTCTGTCTCCTGCTAGGGAAAGGCCATGCATGGCCGTGCTCACCTGACAGCCCGTGTAGGTTTCTGTTGATTAAGCTGGTCAAAGACTTGACATCACAGACGTGCAGGCAGGAAATGCCCACCGCACGGGGGCTTCGCGTCCCTTCCTCCCACTCCCCAGCCTCCCTGCCCTGGCGTCAGCACTGTGGTGGAGGCACGCGGTTCCCGGCAGTCCTGGCCTGGCGCTGCCAAGGTGGCTTCGCCTCGTGGTGGTGTCCGTTGATGCTCCCGACCGAGCCGGTTCTCTGTCAGAGAAGCTGCCCCCGGGTTTTCCAGCTCTGCCCTTACTGCTGGGTGATGGACCCCAGCTGTAGGGGAGAGTGCCTCCTGGCTGCCTCTCTCCTGACTTGGGTTTGTGTTCAGTGTGTCACATTCACCGTCCTTGGGTGGGATCCTGAAGTTGTTCCGGTTAATGGGGAAGAGATACTTAGGAACAGGAATCAGAGCTGGTGCAATGGCACCGTGGGTTACCCCGCTACCTGTGACACCAGCATCCCACATGGGCACCAGCTCAAGTCCCAGCTGCTCCACTTCCTATCCAGCTCCCTGCTAATGCACCAGGGAAGAGTCAGAAGATGGCTCAGGTGCTTGGGCCCTGCCCCAACATGGGAGACCAGAAGAGGCTTCTGGCTCCTGGCTTCGGCCTGGCCCAGCCCCAGCTGTTGCAAGCATTTAGGGGGTGAACCAGCAGATGGAAGACCTTGCTCTAACTCTGGCTTTCAAATAAAATAAATAAATCTTAAAAAAGGAATGGGAATGACTTGGGGCCAGGTGTGCTGGAGTCACAGGTTGGCACCTCCTGGGTCCTCTGAGCACACAGAGCTAGAAGAAAAGATTCATAAAGAAGGAAAACCCTGGTTTCATGTTGATTTATGTTTATCAACTAAAACTTACCTTGTCCCCTAATTCATTTCATATTTATGTTTCTTTTTTCATACTGACAATCTTGATTTCTAATGATATTAACATTGCTTATCCAGTGATACACAGGAAGTGCTTCAACATTTTGGTATCCTGGGGCTGGTGTTGTGGCGTAGTGGAAAAATCCGCCACCTGCAATGCTGGCATCCCGTATGGGTGCTGGTTCGAGTCCTGGCTGCTCCACTTCTAATGCAGCTCCCTGCTAATGGCCTGGGAAAGCAGTGGAGGATGGCCCAAGTGCTTGGGCCCCTGCACCCATGTGGGGCAGAAGAAGCTCCTGGCTCCTACCTAGCCCAGCCCCAGCTGTTGCAACCCTTTGGGGAGTGAACCAGTGGATGGAAACCCTCTCTGTCTCTCCCCTCCTTCAGTAACTCTGCCTTTCAAATAAACTCAGTCTTTAAAAATAAAAAACAAGCCGGCGCCGCGGCTCACTAGGCTAATCCTCCACCTTGTGGCGCCGGCACACCGGGTTCTAGTCCCGGTCGGGGCGCCGGATTCTGTCCCGGTTGCCCCTCTTCCAGGCCAGCTCTCTGCTGTGGCCAGGGAGTGCAGTGGAAGATCGCCCAAGTGCTTGGGCCCTGCACCCCATGGGGAGACCAGGATAAGCACCTGGCTCCTGCCTTTGGATTAGCACGGTGAATCAATGGCAAAAGGAAGACCTTTCTCTCTGTCTCTCTCTCTCACTGTCCACTCTGCCTGTCAAAAAGAAAGAAACATTGTAGTATCCCGTTGTTTTTGCAGTCAACCTTTTAGTGAGGTTTCTTAGCCATTGTTTTAGGCCTTAGAATAAATAACATCTCAAGAATATGTAATTAGAATAGTGGATTTGGTGTAACAACCACACCGATAAAATAACTAATCAGTTTGGTGTAGAGTTAGGCTCGTTTGTTCCTGTTCTTAGTTTGGGGCTTGCAGTTTCCTTTTCCAGGTTTGCTGGTACATTTACATGGCTCAGAAGGCAAATCATGACACACACACACACAGAGGTCTTGCATGGCAGGGGTGACCGCCTGGGCTGCGTGCATGGACAGAGGTGACCGCGTGGGCTGTGTGCATGGGACAGGGGTGACCGCGTGGGCTGCATGCATGGGGCAGGGGTGACCACCTGGGCTGCGTGCATGGGTGGGGTGACCGCGTAGGCTGCGTGCATGGGTGGGGTGACTGTGTGGGCTGCGTGCATGGGGCAGGGGTGACCGCTTGGGCTGCATGCATGGGTGGGGTGACCGCCTGGGCTGCATGCATGGGTGGGGTGACCACCTGGGCTGCGTGCATGGGTGGGGTGACCACCTGGGCTGCGTGCATGGGTGGGGTGACAGTGTGGGCTGCGTGCAGGGTTGGGGTGACGGTGTGGGCTGCGTGATGGGACGTCGCTGGTTTTGCCTGTTGTCCTGAGCAGTTAGTGACGGCCCCTTTCGCTGGGCAGTGGGGCTTAGCTGAAGCTTGGCGGCGCCTGCGGATGCTGATCTAGAGAAGTGGACAGAATGTCTCACTTTGTAGATTTTTTCTCTGCAGCTAAGGCAAGCACTTGGCGGCCCGCAGACTTGTGGATTGTAGCTCTCTTGGCAGGGGAGCTTGCGCCTGGAGGTCATATTCTTGTTTTTCAGAGTCTCATTCTCATTCAGAGGAAGAAATTTCATTTTGCTCCAAAAATAAATTTGGGAGCTTGAAGCACAGCCTGTGTTTCCAAGTTTTTGTGCTTTGCAAATGGGCTAATTATCCTCCTGCCCGTGTGGTTTTAAGCCTCTGCCAGGACTTACAGGAGTTGATTTCAAGTAGGGCATGCTGAGGTTGCTGGATCAGGTATCTAAAAGTGAAAGTGGAGCTTGATCAATATTTCTAAACCATTGATCTCTCTTGAAATCCTAGGGTGCTTTAGGAAGGCAGAGAGCGGGCCTGAATTACAGTGCCGTGGGTTAAGCTGCTGCCTGGTGATGCGCCTGGGAAAACAGCAGAAGGCGGCCCAGGAGTTTGGCCCTGCACCTACATGGAAGACCTGGATGGAGCTGCCGATTTCTGGTTTCTGCCTGGCCCGTCCCCGGCCATTGTGGCCATCTAGGGAGTGAACCAGCAAGATGGAAGATCTCTTTCTTCTCTCCTTCTCTAACTCTGCCTTTCAAATAAAATAAATAAATCTTAAAAAAAAAAAAAAAAAGAAAAGGCAGAGAGCTCTGTTCTCTCTCCACCTTGAAAATGATATGGGTCGAAAAATGTGCATGACAGACGATGTCACGGTATCTGACGCTCTCTGAAACAGGCAGATGTGGGGGGGTGTTCTTTTGAGTGGTCTGCGGTGATACTTCTTTTCAGTGCCCATAGAAATATGAAAGACTTCATTTGTTACTAAACGGGAAACCCAGCTGATGCAAAGAGGCTTACAGAGATGCTGTGGGATCTTACGTGTGCTGTGGGATCTTACGTGTGCTGTGGGATCTTACGTGTGCTGTGGGGCTCAGCCCCGCAGCTCTACCCGGGGTGTGTTCACGTGGAAGAGACTTGGCAAACTGGCATCTTGTTCCCGGCACTGTTGGAGCCACTTCCCAAGAATGCAGTGTGCTTCACTTCCCCTGCCTTTTTGTGACTGGCTTGAATGAATGAGTTAAAGGAGGTCACCCGCGACATGCCTTGCCGTGTCTTTTATTATTTTAATGTTTAAAAAGATTCATTTATGGCCAGCCCTGCAGCTCACTAGGCTAATCTTCTGCCTGCGGCGCCGGCACCCCAGGTTCCAATCCCGGTTGGGGCGCCGGATTCTGTCCCGGTTGCCCCTCTTCAGTCCAGCTCTCTGCTGTGGCCCACGAGTGCAGTGGAGGATGGCCCAAGTGCTTGGGCCCTGCACCCACATGGGAGACCAGGAGAAGCACCTGGCTCCTGGCTTCGGATCGGCACAGCGCCGGCCGTAGTGGCCATTTGGGGAGTGAACCAATGGAAAAGGAAGACCTTTCTCTCTGTCTCTCTCTCTAACTCTGCCTGTCAAAAAAAAAAAAAAAAGATTTATTTATATTATTTGAAAGGCAAAGTTACAGAGAGAAAGAGGGAAGGAGGGGGAGAGAGAGAGAGATTGAGATCGAGTGGACAGTTGAGAGAGAGACAGAGAGAAAGGTCTTCCCTTTTTGCCGTTGGTTTACCCTCCAATGGCCGCCGCGGCCGGCACACCGCGCAGATCTGATGGCAGGACCCAGGTACTTATCCTGGTCTCCCATGGGGTGCAGGGCCCGAGTACTTGGGCCATCCTCCACTGCACTCCCTGGCCACAGCAGAGAGCTGGCCTGGAAGAGGGGCAACCGGGACAGAATCCGGCGCCCCGACCCGGACTAGAACCCGGTGTGCCGGCGCCGCGAGGCGGATTAGCCTAGTGAGCCGCGGCGCCGGCCAAAGATCTTTCATCTACTGATTCACTCCCCAAATGGCCAAAACGGCCAGAGGTGGGCCAGGTTGAAGCCAGGAACCAGGAGCTTCTTTCTGGTCTCCCACATGGGTGCAGGGGCCCACGCACTTGGGCCATCCTCTGCTGCTTTCCCAGGCTCATTATCAGGGAGCTGAATTGAAAGTGGACAGCTGAGAATCAAACTGGCGCCCATGTGGGATGCCAGCGCTTCTGGCCGTGACTTAACCTGCTGTGCCTCAGAGCCAGCTCCCTCGCCATGTCTTATATCCTGTCTGTCTACACACCTGTTTCTCTCCTCACCTCTGCCCACACATACTCCGAGGTCAAGGTGAGTGGGAGGCAAGGAAGGCTGTGTGTCTGGGGGATTATGAACTTGGAGCTGGCTGGCCCATACGCCACTTTTCCATGGTTGCCTCTGAGCCGGGGATCGTAAGTACTGGCTGCTGTTGCAAATACATGCTGCGTGTCTGCCGCTGTTAGGCTCTGTCCAAGGGCTGTTTGCGAGTTTGCATTCACTGCTCTCGGGCGCCGGCAGAGCAGGAGAGCAGTACGTTGTTCAGGGTCCTCTGATGTAAATCAGGACGTTGAGGCACAGGGACGTTGGAGAGCCCACTGAGTTCTGGAGGTGCTGAGTGGTGCTCCTCTCTGAACCAGGCAGGGCTGGCTGCGGCAGTGTCCCCGGGTCCAGGTGGGGTCTCAGGAAAGGGGCTGGTTCTTTGGCAGAGTCTCTCCCTCCCAGCCCGCTCCACCCCTGCCCTGCCCTGCTCTGCTCTGAGCGGCAGGGAACCTGCGTGTGCTTTTCCTGCGGCTGGCTGGTGCCGCCCTGGCCCAGTGCTGAGGACACAGCAGGCACAGGTGCTGCGTCCCGAGTGGGAGGGTCTCGGTGTTTTAGCAATCGTCTGTCCTCAGATGTGGGAGTCTGATTCTGGCTCTTCCACTGGGTTAATCCAAGGCATTTAGAATTTTTATTTTCCCCCTTCTTCATTGTTTGTCCCAGAAACTAAGTTTGCCACTTTAAAACAAGGGGCGTTAAGCGGGTCCAAGGCCAGCCTGGTGGCGAGTGTGTGCTGCTCTCATCCTGCTTCCTGCCATCATAAAATTCAAACTCACTGATGTGTGATCTTTACCATTTTTATTTAATTAGTTTAGTGTAAAATGATGGTTCCCAGACTTCTCTTTTATCTTCCCCCGAAAGAAACCTTTTATAAGAGGAATGCAAGCGGCACGCGTTTCCTAGTACAGCTGTAGGAGTGTGTGGTTCTTCCAGCATCCCGCCCTCCCACCACACTCCCGCCCCTCCCCTCCTCCCTCCCCATTCCCAGTCCCATTCTCCACTAGGATCCATTTTCAGTTAACTTTATGTATAGAAGACCAACTCTAAACTCAGTAAAAGTTCAACAATTTGCATAAAAAAACCTGTTTCTTTTTTTTAATTTAATTAATTAATTTATTTTTGGACAGGCAGAGTGGACAGGGAGAGAGAGACAGAGAGAAAGGTCTTCCTTTGCCGTTGGTTCACCCTCCACTGGCCACCGCGGCCGGCGCACCGCGTAGATCCGATGGCAGGAGCCAGGTGCTTCTCCTGGTCTCCCATGGGGTGCAGGGCCCAAGCACCTGGGCCATCCTCCACTGCACTCCCTGGCCACAGCAGAGAGCTGGCCTGGAAGAGGGGCAACCGGGACAGAATCCGGCGCCCCGACCGGGACTAGAACCTGGTGTGCCGGCGCCACAAGGCAGAGGATTAGCCTAGTGAGCCACGGCGCTGGCTTAAAACCTGTTTCTAAACAGTCGAGACAAGGGCTGTTCAAAGTCATTGCATCTCAAAATTAATTTTGCCTTTTTTTTTTTTTGAGAAACTTAATTAACTTTAAAGAAACACCCAAGAGTAAGACATCATTTGCGAGCACTTAGACATAACTATAACTTAGGAGACTTCAGAATATCTTCCACCTAATACATTAAAAGAAAGTAAGTCCTTGAGAACAAGTTTCATCATGAATTAAGGAAGCACCTAAGAAAACAGTTGCTTCAGGATTTTGGAGATAACCGTAAGTGAATTCCTGAAAGAAAAGTGACGGCTCCGGAGCAGAACCGCGGACGGCGGCGGGCGAGGCCGCTTTCCTGTCCTTTCCTCTTGGGCTGCAGACACGGGACAAGCGGTGGCTGCTCTTCTGCTCTGTCCCTGGTGACCCCCTGGAACCCAGTCACTGCTCTGTCCCTGGTGACCCTCTGGAACCCAGTCACTGCTCTGTCCCTGGTGACCCTCTGGAACCCAGTCACTGCTGTGTCCCTGGTGACCCTCTGGAACCCAGTCACTGCTCTGTCCCTGGTGACCCCCTGGAACCCAGTCACTGCTCTGTCCCTGGTGACCCCCTGGAACCCAGGTCACTGCTGTGTCCCTGGTGACCCTCTGGAACCCAGTCACTGCTCTGTCCCTGGTGAACCCCCTGGAACCCAGGTCACTGCTGTGTCCCTGGTGACCCCCTGGAACCCAGGTCACTGCTGTGTCCCTGGTGAACCCCCTGGAACCCAGTCACTGCTGTGTCCCTGGTGACCCCTCTGGAACCCAGGTCACTGCTGTGTCCCTGGTGACCCCCTGGAACCCAGTCACTGCTCTGTCCCTGGTGACCCTCTGGAACCCAGTCACTGCTCTGTCCCTGGTGACCCCCTGGAACCCAGGTCACTGCTGTGTCCCTGGTGACCCTCTGGAACCCAGGTCACTGCTGTGTCCCTGGTGACCCCCTGGAACCCAGTCACTGCTCTGTCCCTGGTGACCCTCTGGAACCCAGTCACTGCTGTGTCCCTGGTGACCCCCTGGAACCCAGTCACTGCTGTGTCCCTGGTGACCCCCTGGAACCCAGGTCACTGCTGTGTCCCTGGTGACCCTCTGGAACCCAGTCACTGCTGTGTCCCTGGTGAACCCCCTGGAACCCAGGTCACTGCTGTGTCCCTGGTGACCCTCTGGAACCCAGTCACTGCTCTGTCCCTGGTGACCCCCTGGAACCCAGTCACTGCTCTGTCCCTGGTGACCCCCTGGAACCCAGTCACTGCTCTGTCCCTGGTGACTCCCTGGAGCCCAGGTCACTGCTGTGTCCCTGGTGACCCCTCTGGAACCCAGGTCACTGCTGTGTCCCTGGTGACCCTCTGGAACCCAGTCACTGCTCTGTCCCTGGTGAGCCCCTGGAGCCCAGGTCACTGCTCTGTCCCTGGTGACCCCCTGGAACCCAGGTCACTGCTGTGTCCCTGGTGACCCTCTGGAACCCAGGTCACTGCTGTGTCCCTGGTGACCCTCTGGAACCCAGTCACTGCTCTGTCCCTGGTGACCCTCTGGAACCCAGGTCACTGCTCTGTCCCTGGTGACCCCCTGGAACGCAGGTCACTGCTGTGTCCCTGGTGACCCCCTGGAACCCAGGTCACTGCTCTGTCCCTGGTGTGGTGACCCTCTGGAACCCAGGTCACTGCTGTGTCCCTGGTGACCCTCTGGAACCCAGGTCACTGCTGTGTCCCTGGTGACCCTCTGGAACCCAGGTCACTGCTCTGTCCCGGAAAGGGGGTGGACAGGCCCGGTGGCTTACAAAGCTTCTCTGAAGGTCTTGTCGGGGGGCCACAGGCCAGGGTGTAGTGGCTCAGCTGTGAGCCATTGGCCCTGGAGACTCGCTTGCTGGGACATCTGGCTTCACACTGGTCCTCAAAAGTGTCCTGGAGGGACAGGTTGAAAGCCCTAGGACCTGGGTGATCTCAACAACTCTTCCAGCTGTGCAATTCCTGATTCTGTAAGCTATAGAGAGGCCGCAATCCGACTGCAGGACCCACCTGCAGAACGAGCAGGTGGCTGAAGGGGAGGGAATGAAGGTTGGCGGAGCACAGGCTGTCCTCTGACTCCCTCCTGCTGCTGGAGGTGTGTCCACAGCCCTGCCTTGAGTGAGAAGGGCTGGGAGTCAGAGGTTGCGAGAATTTTCTTCATCGCTTGGGCTTTTTGTGATCTGAAGAGTGAAGTGCTGTTTACCAGGTTGTGGTTCTGAGTCCCACCTGGAAGGCGGCTCCGGCCGCGGGGCCTCGTGCCGCTGCCCGGCAGAGGCCTCGTGTGGCAGCCGCTCTCTGGTGTTCCCCGTGGGGTGCGGTAATGAAGTCCGGTGAGAAGGATGCTTTTCTTTGTGGCTCTCAGGGCTCAGTCTGATCATTCGGGGAAACGGGAGAAGGGAAGTGCAGACGTGAGGAAGTGCACGGTGTCTGCCGTGGCCGTCTGCTTACACGCCGCGCGCCCGTGGGTGCAGCGTTGGCTGGAGGGTCGTGGTGTTTGTTGAGAAGGGTGGAGGGGAGGATGTCTGCAGTGGTTAAGGCTTCACTTCTGATTCCAGCTGCTCACGGATGTGCACCCTGGGAGGCAGCCGGTCACGGCTCAAGTAGTTGGGTCCCAGAGTGAGTCTCGGATCGAGTCCCAGGTGGAGTTCCAGGCTCCTGGTTTCAGCTTGGCCCACCCTGGCTGTTGTGGGCACTGGGGAGTAAACCAGCTGACAAGAGATCTCTGTCTGCCTTTCAAATAAATAAAAATAGGTCAATAAAAAATTAAACAGAAGCGTGGAGAAAATTCTAGATTGTGAATATACAAGTAGTGAGTAAAATAACACTCGAGTTAGAGGGCTTAGTTAGACTGTGTGTTCTGTGTGGAAAAACACTCATCTGTTGTTGTCGGATTTTGACCGGGCTGCAGTGTGTCTGGGAAGTAGGGAGAGCCAAGCCTGGCGGCCACGTGGCCTGAGCCTGCTGTGAGACGAGATGTTCTGTGGAAGCTGCTTGTCCCGGAACCTGCCCCTGCACTGCCGACCCGCAGCCTGGTGCTGGACTGCTCAGAACCTCCCAGTTCTAGTCTGGGCTCTCAGAGTGTGGCTGGGAGAGCAAAGGCTGGTGCCTTGAGCAGCTCTTCTGGTCACTTAGGTTCCCAAAGGCGAGGGCCGAGCTGTCTGAGAAGTGGCGGCAGCGTGACTGACCTTCCCAGCAGGGCGGAGACTGCGCCTGTGAGGCTGAAGGGACAGCTTGGCAGTGGCTCGGGCGGCAGGTGGTGATGCTGCTCCCCTGTAGGAGCACCGGAACACCGGAGTGAGTCCTCCCCTCGCAGCTTCCCCTGGAAACCCACAGCGTGTTTGGATTTCCTTCCTTGGACCGCTTTCCTATCTGTGTGTGTAGATGTAGACAAAGACATGGAAATGTATATGAAAGGTGGAGAGAGACAGAGAACTCTTCCATCTGCTGGTTCATTCACAAAATACCAGGGTTGGGCCAGGCTGAAGCCAGGGGCCCAGAGCTCAGTGTGGGTCTCCCGTGAGTGGCAGGGACCCAGGCACCGGAGCCGTCACCTGCTGTCTCCCAGGGTGCATGAGCAGGAAGCTGGCGTTGGAGCAGAGCCCAGGCTCCACTCTGAAATGGGATGCTGGTGTCCCAAGCGTCGTCTTTGCCGCGGACACAGATGCCTGCCCCGTTGTCTTCTCTGTTCTGCCCTTGTTAGGGTTGTTCCTTTTGCTGGGTGGAGTGGGTCCTGCTGGGTGGAGTGGGTCCTGCTGGGTGGAGTGGGTCCTGCTGGGTGGAGTGGGTCCTGTTGCTGCGGAGCACAGGGAGGCTCTCGCAGGAGCAAGTCGTGAGTGATTAGCATAAAGCTTTTCCTTTAAAAAATTTTTAAAGATTTTGTTATTTATTTGAGAAGTAGAGTTAAAGACAGAGAGAGAGAAAGGTCTTTCATCCACTGGTTCACTCCCCAAATGGCTGCAATGGCTGGGGCTGGGCCAGTCCAAAGCCAGGGACCAGGAGCTTCTTTCAGGTCTCCCATGCAGGTGCAGGGGCCCCCAGCACTTGGGCCATCTTCCATTGCCTTCCCAGGCCATAAGCAGAGAGCTGGATTGGAAGTGGAGCAGCCGGGACACGAACTGGGCATCCATAGGGGATGCTGGCACCACAGGCGGAGGCTTAGCCTGCTGTGCTGGCCCTGGGATAAAGGTTTTAAGTCAGAACGAATGTACGCTCTCCAGTTGTGCAAACCATGGAAATCTTTGTTCCAAGCAAAGTTTAGTGATAAATTAAGAGAGAGCTTGAAAGCATATTCCTGCTGATACGGGAGCTTTGCAGAAACCCTCAAATGCCTGGTGCCTTCTTCACGTTCCCCACACTGTGGGTGCACTCAAGCGGTTGCTGCGGTGACAGCCCGGTGTCACTGGAAGGGCTGTTTCCTAGAGGGTTCCTGCAGGTGTCCACACAGGAACCTGTTCATTACAGCACGTCCAGGTGGACACACCCCTGTGCAGGCCTGGAAACTGGCTTCCTGGGGCTCTGTGGAAAGAAGCTAGAGTGAAGCTTTCCCACGCCGTGCGCTCTTCCTGTGCTGCCGCAGAGAAAAGTCCTCTCCCTGGAAGTTCTGTGGTAACGTGCCATCAGGAGGAACACCAAGTTCAAGTCACTCTGACAACCATCAGTCGTGTAGACACAGGCGTCTAGAGTGCAGTTGTTGTTCCTTTGTCCTGGGCCGGCCCTGTGACCGCTGCAGCATCCGAGCGTGACGTTGCTTTCCAGGCTGGCCTGGGGCTCCTGGTCACACCGGGCAGTGCTGGGGAGACCTCAGAAAGCTTTGAGGGAAGGAAGCCCCTTGGACAGTGTATCCTGCCGACTCAGCAGCACACGGGTGCTGTCTGTGGCTCTCACCATGGAGTCCCTTGCTTCTGTGTCAGCAGTCACTTTGAGGAGGTGGCCCGGGAGTGGCCCAGCCCTGCCTTTGCGACTCTACGGCTGTGCTGATGCTTCGCTTCCCTCGCTCAGTGCTCAGTGCCTTCCAGCACACCCAGCGTACTTCACGCTGCCTGAGCTTAGCCTCAGCCTTCGCTTAGCCTCAGCCTTCGCTTTCAGAGCTGTTGCCTGGTGCTCTCTACGCTGAGCATCAAAATCCAAGCTTGTGGAGCCTGGTTTTCCCACTGCGCGTTCTGCTGTGTCCACTCCTTTGTGAACGTCCTGTGCTCTGGCCAAACCAGCCTGGCCACTCTGCTGCCCTTCCCTGCTCCCTTATCACAGCCCCACGCCTCTGTCCAGAGCCGAAGTCAGGCCTGCAGTCTGCTCTGACCCTCACAGGTGCTCCCCCTCTTCCTCTTCCTGTTCGTCCTGTCCATAGGAGGGGGCAGGAGCTGATGCCTGGGGCTGATTTTATTTTTTGTTCTTTTTAACTTTACCCTACTTTTTAGAGATGCCATCAGCCCTAAGAAACAGCACAGACGAGGATGGGCGTTAGCCTGACAGCCTGGGTTTGCTTCCCCTCTGGCTCCAGCTCTCCACCACTGCAGCCCCTGGGAGGCAGCAAGGACGGCTGAGGAACTGGGGTTCCTACCACTCATGGTGGAAGACCTGATTGAATTCCTTGCTCCCATCTTTGGCCCTGGCCATTGTGGGCATTTGGGAGAGGAGCCCAGGTGGTGTGCTCGCTTGCTCTCACTCCCTCTCAAATACATACATACATAAATAAAAACATTCTGTGCTAAAACCAAATTCATGGTTCATCCTAGGTAATGTTACAAAAAACACAAAGATGACACCCACAGGTCAGGTGTAGACACGGACGACATCCACAGGTCAGGTGTGTCAGGATCTGCTGGGGGCAGAGATCTGGGAAGATAGTCCGGGCAGATCCTCCCTCCCTCCGGTGGGGGTGGCAGGAGTTGCTGATGAGGTAAGCGCCTTCCCCACCACCTGCTGACCTGGCTTCTGTTGTTTTCTGCCTAGCTGCTCCTCGTCTCCTCCCGTACAAACCTGTTCCAAGTCTTTGGTCCTCTGCCTGGTAAATTTCTAATCTTGGCTGTGATATATCACCTCTGAGACCATTCTGTCCTCTGTAAAACTGGGACACTGTGTATTTCCCGGCATCGCAGGCAGATTTGGTGAGAACTGATGGACAGCACCCTTAGACACAGGCCTTCATCAGACAGGAGACGTGTGTCTGCAGCCTCCTAGGCGTGGCTCCTCCACCACCCTGCTGGGGACCGGGGCACTGGTTCTCGGTGCGGCCTCTTAGGATGCCATGTGTGCTGGTTGCTGACCACGGGCTGCGGGTTGGCTGAGTGGCCTTTGCATCCCTCTTACCTGCCTCCTGTGCTGGGTAAAATAAGATGATTGTGTGTCCCTGTGTTGCTGAGAATAAAATGTGGTCATATATATCAAGATTTTTTTTAGAAAAGGTTTATTTATTGGGGCTGGTGCTGTGGCACAGCAGGTTAAAGCCCCAGCCTGCAGTGCCAGCATCCTTGTTCAAGTCCCGGCTACTCGACTTCCAATCCAGCTCCCTGCTGATGCCCTGGGAAAGCAGTGGAAGATGGGCCAAGTCTTTGACCCCTGCACCCACGAGGGAGACCCAGAAGAGGCTCCTGGCTCCTGGCTTTGGATCAGCTCAGCTCCAGTCATTGTGACCATTTGGGGAGTGAACCAGTGCATGGAAGACTGATCTCTCTCTCTCTCTCTCTCTCTTTCAAAGAAATAAAATAAATTTTTTAAAAATTTATTTATTTGAAAGAGTGACAGAAGAGAGATTGATCCATCTTGCATCCACTGGTTCACTCCCCAAATGGCCCCAACAGCTGGGGGCAGTCTAGGCCGAAGCCAGGAGCCCCATTCAGATCTCC